GAGGGAAGACGCGTGGGGTGCTTCCTGCCCCTCTGACCGTGGGTTTTGAGGGCAGGAGAGGGTGGACGCTGAAGCGTGTGACCTGCTCCTCCGACCTTGGGTTTGGGGTGCTCCCTTTGACTACTGGCTCCATTTTTTATGTCTTTTATTTTTGTTTCTGCTTTTTCTGGGTTTCTTGAGTAAAGTCTCCGTGGTGCATCAAATTGTGTATTTTTTTACAAGTACCCTGTGCTGTCGCCTCGTCAGCTTTGGCGTGCCACGGCTGAGATGGGCCCGTGCCACAGGTCAAGTGGGTCTTGTGGTGGCCGCCATGTCATCCTGGCCAGGCCACCCCCCCCCACCAAGGAGAGGAGCCACGGGCCACTGATGCCTGCCTTCTCAGGCTTTGTGGGAGAATGTGGATGGATGTCCTACCATATGGGAGACACACTCCTGCCTGGTACCCAGCCCTGTGACAGGAGAGACCTCTGGCTGCTGTTGTGCGTGATGAGGATTCCAGGGCTGAAAACAGGAGCCTAGACACTGTCCACACAGCAAGGCAGTCTCTTAAATTAATCCAGTGTGGGGGGATTTGGGGTTGAAACCTGTTTGTGAGCTGGTACTTCCTTGGGGCAATTTGAAAAATGCAGATTTGACTTCTGTGCCCTAAATGCATAATTTCCTTTAGGCTGACGCCTGCTCCTGTGGCCTCGTGGAGGAGCCTGAGCCAGCCGCCTTTGCTCAGCGTGTGCAGCAGCTCAGACGGGGGGCAGAGGGCGTGACATCCCCGTCGTGCGCCGCCTCCGTCCACCCCACGCCTCCCTCCACCCCAGGTCTCCCTCCCCCCGACATTCCCACCTGCCCGTGCGCCGCCTCCGTCCACCCCACGCCTCCCTCCACCCCAGGTCTCCCTCCCTCCGACATTCCCACCTGCCTGTGCACCGCCTCCGTCCACCCCACGCCTCCCTCCACCCCAGGTCTCCCTCCCCCTGACATTCCCACCTGCCCGTGCGCCGCCTCCGTCCACCCCACGCCTCCCTCCCTGCACGCTCACAGCTGAGTCCACACTGAATAAATTTGGCCTCAATCATTCTTTTCACCCATCATGTCACCGTGTAAGTGCTGAGGTCAGCATAGGAGCTAAAAACATTTTAACATGTAGGGAACTTGGTGGTATTTACACCTTGGCAGCGGAATAATACGTTTTGTTTAGTTGAGGTTGAGGCGAAGAGAGGTCGTTGTTGTGACAGTTTCCGCACCGTGCCAGAGGCAGAAGGCGCAGGCCTTGCTGTGACCGCGACGTATTTAAGTCACTTTTCCTAAAATGAACATCGTGTTTTAAATAATAGATGTTCAGGTTCGACCATAAATATTCCCATTTTCACTGAAATGGCATTTTTTTAAGGAACACAGTTGCACCCTGAATCCACAGCGTTCATGTGCCATCAGAGAACTGCCACAGGAGTCCTGGCGAGTTTAAACCACGCGACCCGGGCCAGGCCCTCGGAGCTCCCCCGCCCCCAGAGGGGGTTTTGGTCAGAGACCGTTTACATACGTTTTCTACGTGAGTTAAATATTCGGGTGCCAAGTCTTGGAAAATGGAATGCCGTGTGCAGGATCTGCCTCCTAGTGCGTCTCTGCTTTTCTTTTTACATTTCCCGTCCTAAAAGTGAGTCCTACAGAGAGTCCAGCCTTCTTAGAAAGTTCAGGAAACAGGCACAGGCTGGCATCGCCCTGCCCGGGAGCTGAGGGCCTGGACAGGCAGGTCCTAGTTCCCTGTCCTGATGGTTTGCGTGGAGACACTGGTGTGTGCATAGGGAAGAGAGTCTCTTGTTGGAAGGGAAAGGTATTTGTCCTACACTTACGCAGCCTTGGCAGGAATCCCTTTGTAATGTGGGTGGCCTTCGTCACAGACTGCTGTGGGTGCCATGCACATCACAGCCATGTCCTCGTCCCCATCTGTGGCCTCCCCAGCGTGTTCCCATGTGGCCCCCGTGCACATGGCAGTGTCCTCGTCCCTATCTGTGGCCTCCCCACCGCATTCCCACGTGGCTCCCATGCACATCACAGCCGTGTCCTCGTCCTCCTTTGTGGCATCCCTACCGTGCTCCCATGTGGTACCTTCACACATCGCAGCTGTGTCCTCGTCCCTGTCTGTAGCCTCCCCACCGTGTTCCCATGTGGCACCCATGCACATCGCAGCCGTGTCCTCGTCATCTGTGGCCTTCCCACCACATTCCCACGTGGCGCCTTCGTTTGGCCTCGGGCTTTGTGTTTCAGACCCCAGATGTCCCTCCGTTGTCTCAGCTGGGGTCCGGGTCCGAGCCCTGCCTGTCAGTCTGGGACTGGCGGTCAGGCCCTTGGTGACAGCAGCCAGAGCTTCACTGCAGCCTCTTCCCGGGGGGCTCTGAGTTCAGCCCCATACTGAACTCAGATACTGGCTTGTTCTTGACTGTAATGACCACAGGGAGGCTGAGTCTGAGCTGGAGCCGTGGAGCAGGGGCCATCTTGCTGCCTGCCCGGGCCCCTCCAGGACCATCTCCCCTCTGCCCACCGACCTCTGAGAATCTGCCGTGTTGGGGGCAGGGTCCATCCCCTGCAGTCTGTGAGGAGCAGCCCGCATCTCAGGCTCCCCACCCTCCCCTGGGCCTTGCTGGCCCTGCACAGACGTCTGTGCATTCAGTGGCATCCGCCGTATTTTCCTGTGGCCAGGACGTGCCTACAGGAGTGTGGGATTCTTCACGTGGTCGCTCTGCTGCGGCTTCCATCTGTTTTCAGAGATTTTTTAACTAGTTTAGTAAGAACATCGACCACAAACGTTCCCAGGATGGGGCTTCCCAGGGCAGGTGGTTCCTGGGGCGGGCGTTGCCACAGGCCTTGCACGGATCACCTGACAATCTCAGGGCTCCAAGGTTGGGGCTCACCGGGGCACACTCTGGGGACACAGACGGGAAGGTGCTCTGAGCGAGGGGGGCTCTGGGAGGCCCCGCTGCGTAAGCTCTGACCCCCACAGCATCACTCTAGGCCTCTGTGCTGCTTTGAGAAGCGGACGTTCTTGTTCCCACCCAAACTTGCCTCTTGCAAATAGAATCACACTGTAGCGATTGTAAATGGTGGCACTGAAGGTAAAAACAAACAGTTCTGCAAATGACTCGGTGCCGAAGGCAGACCCGGGCGTGTGGAGCAGAGGGGGAGGGGAGGGAGCGGCGCGGCACTGGCATTTACCTCTCAGACGCCACGAGCGACTCGTCCCACAGAGCAGCTGGTCCTAAACAGTGTGCGCCTGGCAGAAGCAGGGCCTGGCCACCCACGTCCTGGAGGACGACCTGGGCCGCTCCATTCGCCTGGGTCTTATCTGGCCGTGTGGGTTTTGAGCCTCACACACACAGCGCTGGTCGAGAAGCTATGAGCTCCGTGGATGGTGTGGGCCACAGACGCCTCCATGCATAGTTGCCCTGGGCAGTGTCTGCTGCCCGTGTCCGCCTCTGGACACCAGCTGCTTGGCTGCCCGGATGGTGTTGAGTACTCCCCTGCCTCTGCAGGAGGAGAGGTGCAGCGGGCCATCAGAAAGGGCCCTTGGTGCCATGTGTGTGCACACGCAGCGTGGCGTCCACTGATCAGGAGGAGTCGTGTGCTGCCCAGTTCAGGTTACTGGACCACAGGAACGTTCGTCATGTCCTGTGGGGCCTCGTCTGGATTTATTCGTGAAGCAAGGCCTTGCACGTGGCTCAGCGTGGATGTAGCTTTCCTGCACTCACTCCCCCACCAGCTTCACCACGGCCTTGGCATGGGGCATGCACATACTCCCCACCAGCTTCACGTGGCCTCGGCGTGGGCACTGCACATGCTCCCCACCAGCTTCACGTGGCCTCGGCGTGGGCACTGCACATGCTCTCCCATGCGCTCTCCTGTGGCCTTGGTGTGGCCTGCACAGGTGTGCAGTGAGCATGTGTGCTGTGCTCCATGTGCCACCCATGCTCATGCACGTGAGAGCTCACGGGAGTGTACCGGTGTGTGTGCACAGGAGAGCACATGGCAGCGTACAGGTGTGTGTGTGCACACAGGAGAGCGCACGGGAGCGTACAGTTGTGTGCCCACAGGGGAGCATATGGGTGTGTGCCCACAGGAGAGTGCACGGGAGTGTACGGGTGTGCACACACAGGAGAGTGCACAGGAGAGTATGGGTGTGTGTGTGCCCACAGGAGAGCGCACGGGAGCGTACAGGTGTATGCCCACAGGAGAGCGCACGGGAGTGCATGGGCGTGTGCCCACAGGAGAGGGCATGGGAGCATATAGGTGTGTGCCCACAGGAGAGCATATGGGTGTGTGCCCACAGGAGAGTGCACAGGAGCGTACGGGTGTGTGCCCACAGGAGAGCGCACGGGAGTGTACGGGTGTGTGCACACAGGAGAGTGCTCAGGAGAGTATGGGTGTGTGTGTGCCCACAGGAGAGCGCACGGGAGCATACAGGTGTGTGCCCACAGGAAAGCATACGTGTGTGTGCCCACAGGAGAGCGCACAGGAGTGTAGGGTGTGTGCCCACAGGGGAGCATACGGGTGTGTGCCCACAGGAGCACACGGGAGCGTACGGGTGTGTGTGTGCACACAGGAGAGCGCACGGGAGCGTACGGGTGTGTGCCCACAGAGGAGCATACGGGTGTGTGCCCACAGGAGAGCGCACGGGAGCGTATGGGTGTGTGCAAGCACAGGAGCGTGCACGGGAGCATACAGGTGTGTGTGTGCACACAGGAGCGCACACGGGAGCGTACGGGTGTGTGCATGTGTGTGTATTTGAAAGTGGCAACAGGTGTTTAAAGCCTAGACCTCAGTGGCCAGGACGATAGGTTAACGAGGCATTTCCTAGTCTGCTTTCAAAATGCGCTAGTATACATCACAGAAATAAAAAGGGGGCCAGGGAAGGGACGCAGGCCTGGAACCTCTGCAGGCTCTTTCTGTGTGCCCTGGGGACTCACGGCAGTCCGTTTGCTCGGTGCTGAGCGGGTGTTCTGTTCTCTCGCCAGCTCCATGGCTACTTGGAGAACGAGCCTCTGATGCTACAGCTATTCATCGGGACAGCGGATGACCGCCTGCTGCGCCCGCATGCTTTCTACCAGGTGCACCGGATCACAGGGAAGACCGTGTCCACCACCAGCCACGAGGCCATCCTCTCCAACACCAAAGTCCTGGAGATCCCACTCCTGCCGGAGAACAACATGCGTGCCGTGTAAGCCACAGGCTTCGGGGACCTCTGGCCTCTGGGGCGGGGGGTGCAGGGCGCACCTTCCTCCTGGCCCTGGGGGTTTGGCCAGCCCCCCACACTTCCAGCCTCCATGGCCAGGACACTCTTGGTTTAACAGCTAATAAGTAAACTTCACTTGTGCTTTTGACAATGGATTTGCTTCTCTCTAGGGTTTCAGCCCTGCGTATATTACCACTTAAAATAATATCTCAGATGCACAGCTATAAATATCCTCCTCCACATTTAGCTCTGACACAGGACCCTGTTTCTTTCTGAATACAGCAGTGCAAATGACAAGAATGGTTAAAACAAGAGCACTGAGAAGTTAGAGCAGTTGGGCTTCGGGTCGCGTTTAACTTGAGGCATTTCCGCAACGCGGATGGACCTGCACCGAGGTGCAGAGTGGAATCTCACACTGCAATTTGTTTAAAAGCGAATTTTTTAGTAAGCTGAAAACAAAACATGTAATTTCCAAATAGGGCCTTACTCACTTAATCTCAGCTTGTGCTGGGCACACTGACCCTAACCTGTGAAGGCAGGGAGGAGGAGGACTGCTGGTTCCCGAGAGAGTCACGCGGTGCCGCGGCGGGAACAGATAGACACGTCTGTGGGTGAAAGAGCGTGGGGATGGCTCACACGTGCAGACTGGCTTTACAGAGCTGGGCCAGAGGGCAGGGACAGAGTCTTTCGAGGGTGACTGCAGGCTGGGAGCCTGTGTAATGGGGAAGCTGCGTGGGCAGTGCCCTGCGTGTGATGCCCTGGGGGGTAAGTGTGGAGGTCCTGGGACAGTGAGGGAGGGGTGTGATAGGTGGCGGCAGGAGCCACATCACATGGGGGCTTTGCATGGGATTTTAGTAAGTTATTCAAAGCCTCTAATTCAAAAACAAAGGGAAAGCTTTCCCTCCCCCTTGGCTTCTAAAGCGTCTGGGGGAGTCTGCACACCTGGGAACTCATTCCGAATCCCTGGGTTTGCCTCGAGAGCTGTAATCCAAGTTTCCCAAGGACAGGGCACTATCAGGTGGTTTACCAGAACGAAGCTCGCGTTCCACAGCCGCAGTACACATCCTGGCTTTGCTGGTGGCTGCATTCACCCCACCATGATGTGGGCAGCCAGGGCGGCCGGAGATGCCGCGGCCAGGACCGTGCTCTGATACCGCCTCTCAGGGGCCAGGGAGTCTGTGTTTATTCTCTGTATTCTCTTAGCTTATCAGGAAGAAAAATACTGCGTTTTATTGCACTGAGAATGTACACACGGAATATGTTACTGGAATCTAGTTTTGAATCAAATTATTGAGTAAAGGAGATTATATGAAACCATAGAAGAAATGGGTTTTACACACAAAAAAATGAGGGCTTTTAAATATAGTGGAAATGACAGGATCTTGTCATAAATTGAGCTTTTTGGAAACTACTCCAAAATGACAGAGTGAGCTGCTGCCTCCGGCCCCTCCCCTGGGCTGCTCTGGTGACATCCCGTGTATGTGGCCAGTGTGGCTGGCGGCAACCAGGGCTTGGGACAGCTCAGATGGGACCTGCTTGGTCAGGGTGGAGGCTGGAGGAAAGGTGAGGAGTGATTTTTCTAGGGGCTCACCCCCACTCACCCGCCTTGTCCCCTTCAACCCCTACTCTTCCCCCCTCTTGCCCTTGCTCGCCCCGTCTCACCTGCGCAGATGTCAGGTTCTGTTCTGCGCTTGGCGAGGGCCTCACGTCACTGGCTTCAAGGTCTTGTCCCTCGGGGAACGGGAGTGGCCACTCGCTGGCCCGAGCTCTTGGGGCTGGGGTGAGGGCCAGAGGGTGTGAAGGGCCAGGCCTCGATGCACCTGTGTCAGCCGTGGGAGAAAAGCTGTGGCTTTGTTTTGGCAGCATCGACTGTGCGGGAATCCTGAAACTCAGAAACTCCGACATTGAACTCCGGAAGGGTGAGACCGACATCGGGAGGAAGAACACGCGGGTGCGGCTGGTCTTCCGCGTGCACGTCCCGCAGCCCGGCGGCCGCACGCTGTCCCTGCAGGTGGCCTCCAACCCCATCGAATGCTGTAAGTGGATGCCACTCGCCCCACAGGGAGGAAATCATCCACGCCATGCAGCCGCAGTCCCACCCCTTCTCAGCTTCTCGCTCGTACAGACTTGGGACTGGCTGTTCCCGCCACGCCTCCCTCAGCGTGTGGCCACAAGGGTTTCAGTTGGGCGTGTTTCCGTGCGTGCTCTTAGCTCTATGCACCTGCCCAGCTTTCCAGACCGTCCCGACTCGTGGCCCCTACTGGGAAGAATAAAAAGGAGAGGAAGTGTGTCCTGAAACACTGAGGTGTTTGTGTCGGTCACGGCTGGGTGACTGACTGGGCCCTGCCAGGGTCCCCAGGCTCTGCCTCTTCTGACACCTGAGCGTGGCCAGGGGACGCTTCCCCCTGCGCTGTGCTGACCTCTGCATATTTGTGTGGTGACTGTGATTTGAGGGAAACTGGCTGACTCTTAGTTGGGATATTTCGATTACTTCCTCAGGAGGGAACACTGTCGAGGCAGAGTGTGTGCACACGGCACAGCACCGCCCTTAGAAGTCGCGGCATCTGCAGGAGTCACCCACAGGCTCCGGGTGGGTCGGCTCCCGCGTGACCTTATGGGTGCCATGCGTGTGTCCAAGGCCACCCACCTGGACGGGCCCTCACCACCCCTCTCCCTCTGACACAGCCCAGCGCTCAGCCCAGGAGCTGCCTCTGGTGGAGAAGCAGAGCACAGACAGCTACCCGGTCGTAGGTGGGAAGAAGATGGTCCTATCCGGCCACAACTTCCTGCAGGATTCCAAGGTCATCTTCGTGGAGAAAGCCCCAGGTATGCTCTTTGCGGTGGGCTGCTGCGGGCCTGGGCTTCGGGCGGCTGGGCATCAGCTCCTGGGCTGTAGAGCGGCCCCACCTATGCGTGGTCAGCGGGACGGGCATGCAGGGCATGGCACAGAGCAGAGGCTCCACATGGCCCGGGTCCGTCCTCACCTATGCCTGGTCAGCGGGACGGGTGTGCAGGGCATGGTGCAGAGCAGAGGCTCCACGTGGCCCGGGTCCGTCCCCGCCTATGCCTGGTAAGCGGGACGGGCGTGCAGGGTATGGCACAGAGCAGAGGCTCCATGTGGCCCGGGTACGTCCCCGCCTATGCGTGGTCAGTGGGACGGGTGTGCAGGGCATGGCACAGAGCAGAGGCTCCACGTGGCCCGGGTACGTCCCCGCCTATGCGTGGTCAGCGGGACGGGTGTGCAGGGCATGGCACAGAGCAGAGGCTCCACGTGGCCCGGGTACGTCCCCGCCTATGCGTGGTCAGCGGGACGGGCGTGCAGGGCATGGCGCAGAGCAGAGGCTCCACGTGGCCCAGGTTCGTGCCCTGCTGTGCATTTGTGTTGAGCCGACCGCTCTGCTGCTGGGGGAAGAGCAGACGTTTGTTACTGGGGCCGCCAGGGCCACTGCACAATGACTGCTGCTGATGGGTAAGGGAGCCGCAGGCTAGGGACGTGCAGAGGAGGTGGAGGGCGTTTGCCGGCTCTGTGGGGTCCTCCAGCAGCAGTGAGTGGACGCTTCAGGGGCCCAGTTAGCAGCAGGGCCGGAAGGAGCTCCCCTCCACCAGCATTCCTGGCTGAGGCAGGAATGCCGTGGAGGCCGCAGATGGCGGGGCTGGTGCTCTTTGCCATCAGCCACTTTTAATGCCACAGCCATAGTGTGTGTGAGGCCCCTGCACCCCTAGGGCCCGGACCCCCCAGGACCCCCAGAGCTGCCCAAGCTGCCCCTGCCTCCAGGTGTCATCTGGCCACCTGAAAGCTCTGGGCTGAACTCAGAAGGGCGGCGAGGGCGTCCTCAGGAGTGTTGAGCCTCCCTGGGTGTCACGCCTGTGGTTCTGCGCTGCCCACATGGACGCCGTCCTGCAGGCATTGAGCTCACAGAGCGGTGCGGCCCAGGCCAGCTCCATGCAGACGCTGGCCCCAGTGCTCTCACCCAAGGTGGGACCTCGCCGTTTCCAAGCAGGGTTGTAGACACAGTGGGGTACGCTGATGGGAAACGGGTGTGGACGCAGGGACCCCAGCGCAGCCCTCGAGGGGTCAGCAAGGTGGGCCCGGCTCTCCACAAAGTCTGCTGTGAGCGCTCTGGTTTTGGGGGTTCCTGGTGCCCTGCTGAGCCTCTGCCCTGGGTGGGTGAGGGTCATGCCCCACAAGGCCTGTTATTTGGCTCTTTTTTTTTTTCTTTTTTACATTCGCCAGTTGGAGTTTTTGCACTTACTCAGATCCCTGGACGCCGAGGCGTTTCAGCCTTGATAATGGGGTCTTGATTTTGTACAGTTTGCTGGAAACCTAAGTGCTTCAATCAAAATGGGCTTAAAGGCCTCTCACATCTCACTTAGCTTCCTATAGAATCAGGACATAATTGGAAAACGTGTCTTAAATTATAGAGAAAACCAGTTAAGGGCAGTGACAAGGAAAGCATTTGCCAGTGCCTTCTCGGGAGGAGGCTAATTTTGAAATAATTTGCCCTTCCAAGCCTTCCGTGTGTGTCTGTGCATTGGAGGAGAAACGCTTTGCCCACGGTGCGGGGAGGCGCTTGGGCCCGAACTGGCCAGGACCCTGGCTCCCAGTGTCCGCTCCTCAAAGCCCAGGCCTGAGCAGATGGTGTGGGGGCCGCAGACGGCAGTGTCTTCTGCCCAGAGAGGTCTGGGCACCTTCGCAGAGGTCACCCCGAACACGGTCAGCAGAGATGCCCTGGCTCTTGCCTAGGTCAGCCGCTGCGCTAGCCGAGTGGACGCCACGGCGCTGGGGGAAGGGCAGTCACTGGCCTGCGAGGGATGGGAGCTGAGGGGATGTAGGCCCAGCCCTGGCCTCACGCGGCCGCCCCCATCAAAGCCCACACCCCCCACCTTCGCCATCACTATCACTGAGCTGTGGGGTCAGCAGGCAGGAGAGGCTGCCATCCTTCCCTGGAGCTTGGCCACCCCAGCCCACACTGCCGGACGATGCGTTTGTCTGTCCACGTCTGCCCTCTTGTCCCGTGAGGTCGGGGCGGGTCTGTGACCCTGTCCCAGCACCAGCCGGCGATGGGTTCGCAGCCGTAAGTGACTAAGTGCCACACCGGAGAGCACGTGAGCTTGTAAATTCTGCGGGAATGAATCCAGACCGCGTTTATGCTTTCGTTCTTTGTGTCTAAATAAGATACTTTGCATGTTCATATGCACACGAGCAAATTGCTTGTTTTCAAAAGCAGAGAACAAATGTCCACATCATTTTCTCCTCCACTCTCGGATTCTCTGGCGGGAGCCGTCACATAAAGACTTCCTGATGCGCTGACAGCTAGAGCAGCAGACGCCCCCCACCCCATCCTGGCCACAGGCTTCTCGCTGTTTCTGGAGAAACCACCAAGCGAATTTAGATGAAAACACAGTTGCCCTCTCATCTGCCGATGGGGTCATCTGGTCTGTGCTAGACTGCTCCCTGCAGATGGAAGCAAGGCCGGGCGTGAGCTCGGGAGGTTCATGTTGAGGAAGCCCGTCGGTCGGGCAGTCAGCGGCTCCTCCAGGAAGGGCCGCTGTGCCTCTCGGCTGTCCCGCTCATTCCAAGGGTGCAGACGGTTGTGGCTGTTGTGAATGTTGGCACGTCAGCAGCTCTGGATGCGGGCTGAGGTGGACTTCGCCTGTCCTCTAGAATGCATGGGAAGCTCCTTGCCCAGGCCAGCTCAGCCTCTGTGTCCCAGCCAGGCCACAGCTGCTGTGGGTGTATTCACAGCATCTCTGAGCTCTGGGAAGTTTTGGACGGAGTGGCTCCTCTGCCCTGGAGGGCTGGGAGAAGCTGGTGTTGGGAGAAGCTGGTGATGGGGAGAAGCTGGCATCAGGCAGAAGCTGGTGTTGGGGAGAAGCTGGAGCCGGGGATAAGCTGGAGCCGGGGAGTAGCTGGCGTCGGGGAGAAGCTGGAGCCGGGGAGAAGCTGGAGCCGGGGAGAAGCTGGCGCCGGGGAGAAGCTGGAGCCGGGGAGAAGCTGGAGCCGGGGAGAAGCTGGAGCCGGGGAGAAGCTGGAGCCGGGGAGAAGCTGGCGTCGGGGAGAAGCTGGCGCCGGGGAGAAGCTGGCGCCGGGGAGAAGCTGGCGCCGGGGAAAAGCTGGCATCGGGGCCTCCTGAGGAAGGGAATCCCTGCAGCAGGGCTGCATTGTGGGAACTGGCAGGGTGAGGGCGTGGCTCCCTCTGAGATGCTCTGGCAGAGTGGGAGGAGGGCAGGTGTTTGGGGCTCAGCCTGACTCTAAGGAGCTTACAGAGAACCCTGTACTTCCTCCCAGGTTCCTCAGGGTATCTCAGAAGGCCTGGGGTGGAGTCAGCCTTTCTCTGAGTACCTAGATCTGTTTATGGCTTCCTTGGAAAACAACCTTTTCTGACAATGAAAGTCTGTGCAGAACGTTTATCCAGGGGGCAGGTTGGCTGTGGGAGCCGAGGGTCTGGTGTCAGTTCAGAAGCCCCCAGTAGCATCACAGGAGACCCCCACTTCCAAGGCTGCAGGGGTTCAGCTTCGGGAAGTGGGAACCATACTCCTCCCCAGCTGGCCACCCACCTGCTCCCCTCTCTGTCCCTCCCACCCACACCCTTCCCCACCTATGCTTTTACCCTTCCCACCCTCACACCCACACCCCCCACCACCCTGAACTCTGCCCCTCCCTGCCCTCACACCCGCGCCCCTTCCCTCACACCTGCGCCCCTCCTGCCCTATTCTGCTGTTAAAAGATCACTGCATCTGTCTTCCCGTCTGTGACGTAAAGCATCTCTCTGTGCATGCATGAACAACAAAGGGGCTGAGGAGCAAACTCACGTTCAACATACAGGAAACTGCCCAGAAAACACCTGCATGAAACGTGAGCTCAGGCTGGGAATGGAGCTCGGCTGAGATGATGGAGCTCGGCTAAGATGATGGAGCTCGGCTGAGATGATGGAGCTCAGCTGATGAGATGATGGAGCTTGGCTGAGATGATGGAGCTCGGCTGACGTGAGACAGAGGCTCACGTTTCTGAGGTTCGGACGCATCCACCAGGAGCCCATTCTTAATGCTGGAGCTGAACAGCTTCCTCGACGTTGTCACGTGCCTGTCCTGGGGCAGTTCTTTATAAACGCAAATGATGCCTATTTTGGTTTTCATCGGCACACAAAGGCCACGAGGCCATGCACGGGGCTCAAACAACACCCACTGTGTCCGCCAGTGATCAGTTGCGCGGTGAGCGGGGCTCGGCGGGAGGGGCCGTGCTGGCCTCATCAGTGGTCATTTCTGTGGCAGCCATGACTGGTCAGCCAGCTGGGGCCTGGACGGAAGACCAGCGTCTCCTCCAGGTAGTCAGGGCCCTCCCTGTGGCCTCCTGGGGCCCCTCTGGGGAGTGGCCTGGTCTCTCACAGGCAGCCGGGGCTCCTGGGAAGCAGAGACCATCTGTGCCAGGGCTCGTAGGTTCAGGCCTGGACCCAGGGTCATGCTGGCTGCCACAGCTGGGGCCTCGCCCAGGTTCACGGGAGACGCACAGGGCAGACATGCGGGAGGCCGGGGCCCATGAGGTGGGAGCAGGGAGCCAAGCCCGGGCCCCACAGCTGCCCAGGCCCCTCCCGGAGGCCCGCAGCCCAGCACTTCTAGAGATCTCCCCTGAGAAACCCGACACTAGGTTCACCCCAAGCCCAACCTGGTGGGACCCCAGCTCTGCCCACCTCACGGCTCCTGTCCTCTCTCCCTGGGCGTTACCTCATGGAGGAGACAGGGCTGTGGACTGGCACTGGCCACATTGCAAGAGACGTGGCCAGGTTTCCAGATCTTTCCACACACGGGCGGACAGGGGCCTGCCTCCC